TACAGGTAAAGCCATTGAGGTCCCCAACTTGCACACCGTGAAGCGAGCCGTGGCAGTGTGTCGACTGACTAAGGAGTATTCGTTCACCGCCATCATCGAAACCCTACCATGGAGCCGTCCTCGCAGAGATTGTCCTCTACCTTGACGACGAGGTTGTCCGCTGGACCATCTAAGTCACAGCAGCGATGTCTGGGACACCGTCGTTGAGAGCCTTCCCCTTACGGCGCATGATGTTCACTCCACCGCTCCACCACTCGGCTGGGCCTTGTGCTTTCGGTATTGGGACAACCTTCACGTTCTTCAGTGGTCCCACTTGGTCTATTCTAGGACCGGAGGACTGGGCTGCGGTCCCCGAGTAGGTCACACTCACGTTGGCAACTTGGTGTAAACTAGGTCTGACTGTCGGAGATGCACGGGCTGGCCCCATGCCAGCTTAGAAAGGAAGTCTAAGGACCTCACCTGGTATGGAAATAATAGGAGGGATCAACCATGAATTCCAAACGAGAATCGCTATCAGGGTGGCAGATCATAATAGAGTGATTGAAAGACTCAGAATAAATGGTATGCAGTGACAGGACGGTGTCTGACATCTTGCGGAGTGATTGCTGGATGACCATCGACCACTGCCTCGGCTTCGACCGCGACTAACTGCGTAGGGAACACAGCGGTGACAAAATCTTCGATCGAGAACGCCTACTCTTTCGAGGTCTTTCAAGGACGGTCCCACGGTGTGACTGTGCGTAATGAATGGTAGATAGTCAAGCAGGCCCATAGTGAAGCAGAAGGTCAGGGCATGATGATCGTGAACCGATGGGCGTGAGAAGCGGTATCGCTGCATCAGTTTTCAATGTTGGAATGTTTGTTCGCTTTCCTCAGCTGAGCTAAGGCTACATAAGAATTGGGTTAACAGTGTACAAGACCCAGCCAAAATTTCCCGAAATTTCCTCACAAATTTCATATTGTCACCAACACGTGTGGTTGACTATGTGCGAATTTCTCCAGCTTCGGTCGCCTCCGAGACAACACCTCCATCACCCAACGATTCAGTAGTAATCGTTGGGGATCCCATCAATTAGGGAGGTCCAATACGGGAGAAGGAAAATGACGAGGCACGGCTTCACCGTAATGTGTTTTACGCTCCTGTATGCCTGGACTGCAACACCGTTATTGATATGCAGCTGAACACAAGTTGGCGACAGATCAGCACGCCAGGACGAACATGTACACTGCTGCACTCCAGTGAGAGTGCTTAATCAAGGCATGGTCATGGTTACGTTCATGGGACAGAGAGGGGAACGCAGCGGATGAAGTCGATCATTCTCGTCCTTTACGAACTTTTATTCTTCCTTTGAAGCACTATAGCAGCAGTCCGGTGGCCAAAGAGAGTCGCGATACGACTTAAAGTGGCCGGGCCAATGACTCGAAGTTGACACTCAGCGCTGCTGATAAGCAGGGGCTGCTTGGTCTCGTCGGATGATGATCTGACATAAAGTGAATGTAGGGGGTATGCGTGCGATGGTAGGAGATTAGGTCTTACATTCGGTCGATAACTCGGAGGGCGACTTCATCACGACACATCTTGGTGAGCAGGGGAGAGAGGTACGCCTGTGCATCGGGCTGTTCCAAAAGAGCGTACAGTAGGCTAGGCCAGTCATAGACACCTCGGTGGATTGGCGTTGCAGTGTGCATGCATATGTACCTGTAGTTCATACCGCTGTGGTCGGATGCGTTGAATCATCCCACCGGAAGAGCTTCGGACAGTCGAAGACGAAGCTAGCATGCATCAGCCGTTCTGCGGCATCACAGGATAGGCCTGCAGGCATGAGCCTAGATGAGAACGTCTGGATAGCTCCAACGAGGTCTATCATGTTCGCCACGACGGGTAGGAGCTGATATCTGATGTAAAGAAGAGGGAGCTCGGGCATTGGCATTGAACGGAATGGCGCACATGAACTGCATATGAGAGGCGTCACGGTCAGTGGTTCTGTCTGTGAGTAGTAAGGCAACGATCTCCCTAGCAGCTACTGGATCACGGGGCTCTCGTCGACGTCTCGATAACCCCACCTGGAATCGAGACGATAGGCATCTACAGTGAGCTGGGCGATGTGCTTTCTACTGAGCAGATCCGGATCTGCGTTGGAGTTGTATAATACGCTTCGTGTTGCATACGAATATCGACACAGGGTTGGCCTCGTACAGCGTTTTTCAATCACTAGATGTACAGAAGCAAGTGAGGTACCCCGCTATGCCATTGGAACAGAGAGGAAAACCATCCGCGGAATGCATCGGGAAGGAGCACACAAACCCCTTGGGCATACCTCTGCGTGGGGATACTCGTTGAAGAGGTGCCTCATCACGTCGTTATAGTAGTATCTATGAGATGATGATAGTCACAGCGAACCGAGGTAGACGGAGGCGAGCTTACGTCTCGTGCTGCAGTGTTTTCCGTAGTGGACTGACGTTGGCCTCCTGCGTTGGGATGCACACACGCTGATCATTTCGCACCAGCTTGCACATGGAACACAGAGACCGGAGCTCAGACAGAACCTAGGCGATTCTGTCACAACCCTAGCAGACCCCAGACGCGCACCAGCCCCGATTTAGCCGGCAACAAGTAGGTGGAGGCAGCAGGAACGGCGGTGCTATCTTCAGCGTTGACACCGAGGATGTACCCTAGTACGGGGATGCAGCACGCAGACTCACGTGACGACCGACCTGTGCAGAGAACACGATGGAGTTTGGAATCAAATGCTTCCACTATCTCTCGAAATATGGATCTGATAGAATATCTCGAAAGTCAGCAGAGACCACCGAGCTACATGCCGAGATCTTCTGTTGTTCCTTGCCGAGATTTCAATGGCGCGCGACACCAGTCGTAGCGGAAACATGCAAAATCACTGTGCTTGATTGAGGCTACTAGCCTACTCCGCAGTACGGGCAAAGTCGTGGGCTTCGTGGGTGAGGCGTCCTCCTCAACTGCCATAGTGACTGTAGACCGATAACAACTAAGTGCGGAGTGTTCATGGAAATTCCGCGAATCGGTGAAGTCCAACGGTAATGGGGTTACGAAGAATGATGCATAAACACCATTAACATCGGGACGACAATTCTCTGTGGCTGACGATAGTCTCCATCTGAACAGCTCCTCATGTTATTTACTACAGCTAGCCGAGCTGTTAACTACCAGGGAAGCCACGCGAAATCGACGCGAGTGGGCTACCATCGGCCTGCCTTTGACCGGGCTCAATCACTGTGCGCCTCCGCTATTCTCGCATACTAGCGAACTCCAGCAGAGTGATTTCCGCTGGTATGAATATCGCAGAGAGGATTCCTTCAAAACGGTTTCAGGCGGCGCGATATCACAGTCGTCGGAAGAGGACGTCGGATCCGGACTGGCCTCATCTGCTACTAGAATTGAGCTGACGTTGAGAATGTTCTAGGCTGCTGCCGAATCCTACTCTCAGCCCGCTAGTGTCGTTCTGTAGTGAGGAGCATTTCGCAAGCCTGTCAATGACATCGGCATTGGGATGGCGGGTTGGAACTCAACAGGGGAATGCCCATGGAGACGCCAATAGTGAACATGTTGTTAATCATGATTGGCCGAGATTGCGGAGTCGGCTATCAACGTCTCGTATCATCTCCTCCTCTCTACCCACGAGGTCTCTCCCTCCTACTATATCCAAAGGGAGATTCTCTTGGACCATCCTTTCCACAATGAGTGGGTCTCCTGAAGCCGCGGTCTCGGGAGTGCCATGGGGCATTGACCTACCGAGAGGTACCCCGTTGGCCCTCGCCTCTCTATCCACAGCATCCATGAGCTCGAAGGCCAGCATAGGATTGATGCTCTTCTCCCCTCTAAGGGCCATGCTCACTGAAGGGAACTCAAGCCCAACCGACCTGATCCCGGCCAACTTCAGCGGGTTCACTAGCAGGTGCTCTCGACCCCCCTCTGGGCCCAGATCCTCCACACCGTCAATCGTGGCCTGACCGGGCTGCGACCACACCTCCATCGGACCCTCCGCCATGGCCACTGAGAGCACCAATCAACTCCGCTACATCCCCCTACATGGGGGAGTGATACCCCCTCCTTACTTTGGTCACCTTGTGCAGCAATACTTCCATCCACTGCATGCCGTGGTCTCGACAATTGTGGCATGACCCGACTCCAAGCCGGCGGCACTTGAAGGGGATGACCATAACTACCACCACGACGATGCACCACGAGGAGCATCCATAAGCCACCCTCCACGTACGGTATCGGGTCCGAATAATATCTCTCCTTCATCCACCGCTCTACCAGCGCGTCCAGCTTCTCCGAATACGATGGGGTAGGCGGTAGCCATTGACGACACTGAGTGAAGGAGCATTTACTATTATCGGGCGAGCGAGAGTCCATTCCGCTCCTCCCTTCGCCGACTTTGTCGAGAGTCGATCGCCGATCTCTCCCCTGGAGCTGGACCTCAGCCACAGCGGCCAAGTCATCGGCCATGATGGCGTTCATAGCGTCCTCTCCCGCTGTATAGGGAGTCACGGTCTTGAGGGAGTAGATACAGGTCTTCAGCAATGGTAGATACGCTACTGCTACCTCCGACCGTACCTACGACACTCATGCAGCGCATCAACGGCGACTCTGAAAGAAGGGCATGTATTCGCTCATCTAAAGCACATATCAAACAAAACCCCGGGGGTTTAACCTCCGCTAAGTTCATGGGCCTCCCTTAACACGGAGAGAAGACATCAGCCTCTGTGAAGTACACTCTGACCAATAACCACTCAGGAGCCTGCGAGCCGCCTACATCAATTTCCGTCATGGCGAGTTTCTCCTCCAGAACGTTGGCTCTGATCCTGAGCAGATGTTCCAGAGCTACCTCCGGGGATTCGGCCTCTCCCAGTGGAGGAGTGGCTCGATACGCCTTCAACATGGTACGAGCGTCATAGCTGGTGACCAGCCTGTCGTTCCCTAAGTGGCGCACACTCTATCACAACGGCTCTCCAACGGGCCTCACCAAGTAGGTTCCGGTAGGTCCCTATGGGAAGGTACTTCACTTCGGAGCGAGGCAGGGACTTGAGCCCCCAGTTGAGAGCGGCATAGACATTCCGGTCGGAATCGAGGGTCCGGGGCTCAACAGTGGCCAGGCGCTGGCGGAGGTCTCTGACCATCTACAGGAGAAGTGAGAGGGGATGCGGTTGGAAAACCCTCTTCACTTGAATGCCCTCTTGCGTACAGCGTATTGCGAAGAGGCCGTCATCACAGAGTGCCCGACCCTCCCCGAGTGCCATGCAGCATACACTACTCGACCTGTCTGCCATGCAGGTGTTGATGTCACTGAGATTAGGTAACACCTCGGACAACAGTACTCCGCCCTTACTCGAGCCAACCACCGAAGACTAGATTGTCAGGCTCGGCAAAGACCACGAATGTGGATCGAGCCCTGGCCGCCTCCGGTCCTGCAGCCATACACTCCTCCAGAGCCCGTTGCCAGAATTTAGGTCTTAGCTCGCCCGACAGTGATCCTCTGCTGGGCTCTTCGGATACCTCGAGAAGGTGTAACTGGAAGGGTCTGGCTTACTCCCTACCCGAACGTGAAGGTGCAGCCCTCCGTCCGTCGAGTCCAGCTGAGTGAGCAGAACGCTGCTGACGAACTGCTCAACGAGCTGCTGTTGGTCGGCGGTTGCGAAGACGAAGACACCAACCAGCTCGACATCCGCGTCACGCGCCACGAAGTTCCTGAGGCACTTCTCATCCCCCCTCGAAAGATACTTTCCAACCTCACCTAGCCTGCTGAGCATAAGCATTCAAATGCGTATACGCTGAATCAGCCTTCGTCCGCTGGGCCTCACAAGCCGCTAACTCGGAAGCTCCTGCGTCGCTCCGCCCTCCTTCACTGAACATTGGACGTATCCCATTGTCAAGATCGCTCATCGTCCCACCCGAGTAGGGTCGCCTTGAGGTGTCGTATTTGATGTTGCAGTTGCAGTCTATCATCTGTGAAACCCTTATTTTTCCCCTCGTACTCCGCCACGACGGCCTTCAGCTCCTCCTCAGCCTTTCTCGTCCTCGACTGTACATCCACGACCTCCTCATGAATCTTAGCCTTTCTCTTCTGAAGGCATTCAATTGCTACTACCGTCTTAGCACGAAATTTCATAAAAGTTCTGTGGGTTCTATCCTGCCCGGTGTTGGAATGTCTATGTTCATTTGCCTCAGCTGAGCTTAAGATCTTCCTCGTAAATCATACGAATTCGGGTAGAACAAGAATATCCTCATAATTCTCATATTGTCATCAACACATGTAGTTGACCATACTGATAATGCCTCATTGAGAGATGTAAAACAGGTCCCGACTGCTCTACTAAGGCCATGTCGCAAGAAACCTCGAGCAGAGTCGAGCATGGGGCCCCCACGGTGGGCCCCCCCCCCTCCCCTTGAAAGGACCATCTCTTCAAGAGATGGCCCCTTTCAAGAGAATGAAGAGATTCTCTTGTAATTCCGCAGTGCATGATAGTTGACGAACAGTATGGGAATCACTCGAAACTCCTATTGGGAACTCCTTTCGCGTGATCTTAACACCCGAGATCGGCTTGACTTTGCGCAGACGAACGATCAAGAAGCGTTGCATGTACGTCAATTGAACCATTTGACGACAAAAAAGCCACCGAGTCAAAACCGGTACGACATTTCCCTATGTAGCCGATCTTGCGTTTGACGATAGCTCAGTGCACAAGGCGTTGGAAAGAGCTCGATCAGAGCTTCCAGATGATGCCTATTTGGTTTATGAACTGTCACGCATCGCGAAATTTCAAGGGGTTTTTTGCACCACCCTGTAGAAACCCACGAAGTTCTCTTCGTCAAGTCTCTCCTTCTCCCATTTCAATTCAGAGATCCTCCCTGTCAATTTACTGGCCATCTCGTTATACCTGGGGCACGCCCTAGGAAGGAACTCGACTATTCCTTGCTCACTCCAACGTCAAGGTATTCAGCCTGTGGACCACGCCTGACTGTGATGACCGCTGTAGCCACGATGAGCAGACGAAATAGACACTGCATATTGACCAGAGCACCTACGAGGAACTTTTGTCCACTCACGACTACCAGCGTGGTTGACACGAGGCACGAGCATCTCATATACGTGCGTAGTAGAGGCCTATGCTGTTTATTCAGTTCCCACGACTCCTACCATGCCTGCCACTATTGCACGCCTTCGTCTTCCTTCTTGAAGGGAGCTCAATATCCTCTTCTCTACTGCTTTGTACAGGCTTATGCTGTGAGCTCCTTTGGCAGAGCTGTCAGGCCCAATGCCCTCAGGGGCATCATGATGATGGTGTGAGGCTCTCCTCCTACTGGTAGTCTCAGTGGATCCCCATGCCGCGGCAAGGAGCTCAGGATCCGTTGCTGTGAGCATCCTGATACACTGCACAGGTCCAGCCTCCCCCTATGACGTGTTGCAAACCCAACACTCTACCTATAAACCCATCGTGTACTATGTTGGAGATAAGCGTTGACACTATCCCTTTAGTAGTATTGGAAGCAACGCATAAGAGGGACATATGCTGGAAGTATGAGAGTATGTAATATGAATCTGTGAATAAAATTTGAAAATGTGATTTTTTCACGCACGATTATGTCCACCTACTGTAGTGTCATGAGAATCCGAATTTTTCCTCATGGTCAGGTGTGCGTTAATCAACTCGTTCAAGCATGAAAGTGTTAGATTCGCATCCCAGTTTGAGCAATGATGTGTCGTAGATCTCTGAAGTCTGATGCTTTATCGATATGTGGATCTTTCCGCATTATTCTCACTGAGAATTTCTCAGTCTTTCGTGAATTGACTGTACCTGGGAATTGACTACGACTACGTCTCGGCCTAGTTTCCCTAAAGTTAATTAACCTGTGTTTGGTTACGAGTATCATTGGCTACCGGTCTCCCGCTCGAAAGTATCAATGCCGACCTCCTACTGACCAATGGCGAGCCTCGACTCAAAGTGAGACGAGACCGAAACTGTAACGAGTATGCGGACTGCAGCTCGATGCAAGCCGCCTCAGGAAGAATGTGATACCCTTGGAACAGTTCCAAACTATGGAATTTGACCACATTTTGGAACTTGTACAATTTTCGGGCGTGCGAGTTTTCCTTTCGGGGCGAGCGAGAATGTTTCTTGGAATACGTAAGATTCGATTGGGTTTTGTGGTTTAGTCGAATGCGGCGAGAGAATCTGCGAGCAGCGCTCAAATTACTGTCCAGATATTCAACGAAGTGATTCTGTGACTAGAATTGTCAAAGCCCAGAAGAGATCTCGAACTTTCGAGGTCAGTCCGTTAGAGAGTATAAAGTGGTGGTTTGTTGGTAGTTGCATTTTTGCTGTAAATCTTGAGCGATCCACATGAGTTTAACAAGATTCGTCTTGAAACTAAACTATCGCGACGAGTGCGTCCGAGTACGACCGGAGCCGCAGTACTGTACGAGGTTCACCCACATCTTAGAGTGAGCAGTCTATGGGTACCGGACTGGACCTTATTCGTATCTTCTCAGGTACATCAGGGAAACCTGGCCGGAGCTGTCCAGGGCCGACGACTT